GGCTCCTGGGCACCTGTTAGCTGAGAAAGTAAACACTACATGCCCTCGGCTGCACAGGTGGCTCTTTCTCTACCCAGAGCAGTTTCCGTGTGGTGGGACACCTGGGCGAGAACCACATGTCCGGTCCTGCACAGGGAGTTCCTGCAGTCCTCCCCCCAGCTCTGCGAGCTGATGGCGCCCAGCCCCAGGGTGGGTGCCACAAGGCCTCTGAGACACCTCCAGATGGTGGGGACACTTGTTTCCTTGTCATGGCCTTGGCTGTCATGAGGCGCACTGGCCAGGTAGTGTGGAGTGGCTCCAGAGCTGAGTTTGTCTGCTGCTCTCCTCACAATTTAGACCGGGGTTTGGACTTTGGGTTCTTGGGAAGACAGCACAGAGGTGACGGGCCGTTCTTGTCACATCGCATCCGGGCATCTGTAGTATCAATGTCTTATCACTGGTTATTTTAGCTTTGGTCACTTGATAATGTCATTTTTGCTAGGTTTCTGCACTGGTTTCCCCTTTCCCTACTCTTTTCTATGGAAATGAGTCACTCAGTCTGGCCCTTGTTAAGGGGGTGAGGGTGGTAGGCGCCACCTCCTGGGCCTGGGTCTGTGGATTGCTTGGAGTCTTCTGTAGGGAGCATTTCTCTTCTCCCCCATTGCTTTATTTATTCAATCCTTTACATCAGGGTGGACTCACATCTATTACTTTATACTTTGGACTATAATTTAACACTGTTATTTTTTTGTTCAAATTGTTCCAGATTTGGCCATTGGGAGCTTTCTCAGGTTTCTTCCTGCTGAGTTTTCATGAACTGTCTCAACTTGTTAATGCCAACAAACGATTTTCCTAGAGTAGAAGGCTCAGTTTAACCTTGAGAGTTTGAGCAGATTGCGTGCTACCTCTGGTTGACTGGCACTCTAGTCTGTAGAAGTCTAGCCCACAGTGGCCTGTAGGGCTGTGGACACCCCTGTCTCTGTCTGACAGAGACAAACTGCACAGCCCACACCTGCTCACTCATGTTTCTGGACGTGCTGTGCAGTCAGCCCCTCTTAGGGCAGGTTTACTGCTGGAGGAAGAGACAGCGAGGCGAAGCAACAAGGCTGGGGCCACTGGGAGTCAAGGAGGTGCCAAGGAATCTGCCCCCTTAAGGGTGAGAAGGAAACTGGTGGTGGGATCTAAAAATGGAGCATTACCAGCCCTGAGAAAACCTACGTGGCCACAAGTCCTGCAACTTCCCTGATAGTGAGTGACTCAGAGCCCAAGGACGGTGGCCACCCCTTCTTGGGGCCCCATCCAGCGACTGCAGCAGCTACGATGTTCAAGGGGCTCCAGTCAGGCCCAGCTCCCCATACTCACCTCAAGAAGTTAAACCTGCCCGTCCGTTTTCCGGGTGATTCCTTGTTTAGCTATAGTGGCATAGACCCGCCTTGACCCCTCCTGTGATTTCTGTCTCTACATTTTGGGAGAGTATTGCATTTGGAGCCAGGATAGTGTGGGGGAAAGATGACCAGGAGATGTGACAGTTGGTGCTGGACAACAGAGCAGTTGGCTCAGAGTGAAGGAATTTAGAAATGTCAGCTCCGGTTGGCTTTTGGCAAAGGTAAAACCACATCTTCTCCAGATTTGCTCTGTTTGCTTCCCACATTTAACACCCCGATGGCTGAGGGGCCACGTGTGCCAGCTCCCTGCCCACAGGCTGTTGGAGCTCCTGGGGTGTGGGATGGGCTCAAGGAACTTGTTTATAAAGTAGCAGAAACCCTGCCCTGGGCAGAGCATTCCAGCAGCTGACATGATGAAGGGGACACTGCTTGTGCTGGCCTTGCTGGTGACCAGAGAGCTGGGCATCCAGATGGGTAAGAATAGGAAGGAGGGAAGAAATGGCCTCTTGACCTTTGCCCTAGTCTGTCTCCCTCCCTCCCCCCCATGGTGATCTCTGGGCAGCTTCTAGCAAGAAATTTAGGGGTCAGCTGAGAGATTACTCCCAGGAGTCCTGCAGAAAGCCCCCAAGGTTTTCAGTCTTTCAATGGAGGGAGAGGTTCGAAGATGGAGGGTCATCAGTTATGCACACATAGGGGGATTTGGTTGGGGTAGTGGCGCTTATTTGAAGGGCTGGGATGTCTGGGGCCATGGTCAGGGGCAGAGGGGCTCTAGTCCTAGCCCCTCTCACTGCTCCCTTTAGCTGGGAGTGCCTCTGAGAGAATGTTTGCTCTGTCTGGAGTGTAAGCGGTCCTGGGAGAGGGCAGGTGTCTGTGGAAGGTGAGTCAGGACACACTGGCTATGTGATTACTTCCAAGTGGTGGGGAAACAGGAACCTCTTACCCTGGTGATTCCTTTGATGGGGTGTTTTTGTCTCTTGTCTTCAGTGGAATCTTGCCCTATTTTTTATGGAGTCTTTGGTACGTTGGCTATTGGAAGCAAAACACTGTTGGACGCCAGCCTCGAACTGGTCCACGCTACCCAACCAGAAAAAGTAGCCTTAGAAAAAATCCAGGAATGCTACAATGAGGCGGGAATCGAATCCAAGATCTTGGATCTGATCGTCATGGTAATTTACTTTCCTCCCCCCAACCTCGCTCTGGCGACATACATGCAGCATATTGCAAAATGCCACATACAAATAGACCATGACATCATGGGGTACATGACAGATAAGAGCTATAAACAGTCAAGCTCATAAATCTTAGCTCCACTCTACAGCATGTATAACATACAACCACATGCTACATGCACGTCCAACCTGTTCTTCTATCATGCATGTCCCTATTGTGCCAATTAGCTCACACACTGGGAAATAGGCGACTGATGCCAGTGTAACATAGAAAGTGTGTTAGCTCATGTGATTTTCCCCCAGATTAGGGGAGCTAACATTGCAGGATTAGAATTTTAACCTTTGGCAGGAGAGACTTCAGCTCCTGCACAAGTAGGAGTCCTGCTGCTCTATTTTAGAAATATTAAAAAAGAGCACTGCCCCGGCCAGTGTGGCTCAGTGGTTAGAGTGTCAGCCTATGCATGGAGAGTTGTGGGTCCAGTTCCCAGCCAACAGCACGTACCTGGGTTACAGGTTTAATCCCGGGTCTCAGTGAGGGGCGTGTGGGAGGCATATCAATGCCTTTCTCTCTCTCTCTCTCTCTCTCTCTCTCTCCCCCTCACCCCCACTTGCCATCTTCCATTCTCTCTAAAAATCAATGGAAAAAATATCCTTGGGTGAGGATTAACAAAAGAACAAAAACAAAAAATGAGCACCACTTTTAGACTCTTCCCAGAAGGGACTCGCTGGCTTTGCAAGGCTTCTGGCTTTCGGTCTGTTTCACTTCCTCTTGTGCCCACCTTGATGGCTCTTCTTCCGGCTCCGAGCCCCACTTCCACCTGCATTGTCGCAGTGCCCACAAGCCAGAATTTCCACTATGTCGTGTTAGTGCCCGAGGCCCCTGCAGCTTCTACTTACGTGTAGCTGCTCACAGATATATCTCCTGATGAACTGTCTGTTATTGCTCTTTTTACAGTCACGTAGATTTTGAACAGTCTGTCTTACTCTATTTCCCCCAAAGTGCTGACTCTGCAAAACGAGGTTTTTCAAGAACTTCTTGCATTAATGTAGGCACACAGGGCACATGAGATTGTTTACAACACATGCATAAACATTCATCCGATGCACCTAACAGATGAGTCTTAGGTACAGGAGAGACCACAGAATACCTGTGCGTAGGCAATTAGGAGCCATCCTCATCCTGGCCTGACTGATCACAGCCCCTCTCCAGTGATGGCCTGTGGTTCTTGCTGGGGATGGAGCTGAATCACCGAGGATGAGGAGTGGGGTGACCTGGGGAGATAGGATAGCCTTGCCGGGGCCTCAAGTCCTCTTCTCTTGTTATCTCCCTCTCTTTAGGGCACTATCACCACCAGCAAGGAATGCATCCACTACACAGTGGACAAGATAAAGAAGGATGTCACCGAACTTCTAAACTGAACTGTTTCTCTGAGCTCCGTCTTCCTGCCATTCTCACCTGAAGCTGGAATCCAGACACCTGTCCCCACGCTGTCTTCATCAGGCCGACTCTAATAAAGTAACTGCAGCTCAGATCTGTGTGCTGCGTCTGCGCTGTGCGGGGAGTACGTGAGGCCTGGCAGGGGATGCTGGGAGGTGGTGAGGCGTGACGTATGGTGAAAGCATGCAGACTGGAGTCAGGCAGAACCAGGATGAGCTTAGGCCCTGTCGCTGACAAGCTCTAGGACCTCGGACAAGTTGTTTTGTCTTTCTCAGGCTATTCCCTCATCCATAAATGGGCATTGTGTATGAGGATGAAGTTAAATAACAAATGTAATCCCAGACTTGACTAGCCTGGAAGGACAAAAATGTTGTCAACAGCTACAGACGCATCTCTCTGACTCTGGCTTTTATTCAAACACTCATTTCACTCTTCCCCATGACAGAGCTTGAATGGAGATTTCTCTCAGTGCTTATCAAATAGGTTTGAGGTAGAGGCGATGCAGGTAAACTGAAACTGTTGACCCTACCCTCCTCCAATCATCTTTTCTCATTTCTATGCTCCACCCGAGTAATGGAATCTTTCACCTGGATATCAGAGCTTTGGAGGAGGCATTTTGTGTGGGTGGATCACTGTCAAATTGAAGTTTCTGTGAGAATGAAGACTAGAATCTTCTATTCCATTGTCTTGCTGATGTCGCATGTACGTCTTAGTCTTTTTTAAAATATATTTTTATTGATTTCAGAGGGAGAGAAATATCAATAATGAGAATCATTGATCAGCTGCCTCCTGCACACCCCCTACTGGGGATTGAGCCTGCAACCCAAGCATATGCCCTTGACCAGAATTGAACCTGAGACCCTTCAGTCCAGAGGCTGACATTCTAACCACTGAGCCAAACCAACTAGGGCTGTCTAGCTTAGTCTTTTTATGTCCTAAGTTAAATGGAAGAAAATGATTCATTCGATGTGTTCCTCCTGGCATCCAAATGCAGATTCCCTGGAAGGCATCATTTGTAGATGAAAACAAAGAAGATCAAAGAAATATCCTAATTGCTTAAATGGACAAAAATGGTATCACCTGATCTAATTTGGGAATTCAGGTTTGATTGTCTCTGGTATCTGTGCTGTTTAATCACAAAGCTTCAAAAATTGTTCCTAAAGTTCTTGAATCCAGGCATGACAGTGGTAACAATACCAATAATAAGTAGCCACATCAGCAGGGATCACAACTGTCAACCTACACCTACTCAGGGAGAAACAGGTTCTGTTCTCATTTATGTCATACATGAAGCCATTTCTTGGGTCCGAGCCCCTCTGCTAGGGATGGGACCTCCTTGGAAGCTGGGAACTGGGAGATGAGAGCAGCCACAGGTAGGTGGGACATGCTTTATTGCAAAGCAGCCAGCCACCCGCTGTTCAGGAGCACATTTTATACTAACTCAGACAAAAGAGGTTTCTTGCTAAAATAGTGACATCAGTGTCACATGATACATAGGTACACTGCACAGTGCATACAGTAAAACTGCTGTCATTGCCTTTGCACGTATGGCAAATAGGCCTTTAACATCCGGCGTACTCTGGGTAGGGTCCCCACACCATTTACTCTCATAACAGCCCTGTGAAGTAAGCACTAAATTACCCATTTTACCAATGTGGAAACTAAAGTAGAGGCAGATTTCGTAACTTGCACAGGGCAATACAGCTCCCAGCCTACAGGGTTGGGATTCACACTGAGTTATGGCTCCAGAGCTTTACACTAAGCGGAAAGTACCTCATAGCCCTGTCAGAAGCCAGCGGCCTTGGAGAAAACAGGCTGTGGAGGTGCAAGATGAATGAGAGGATTTAAAAAAGGGAACAGGAGAGCAAGGGAAAGGTTTTTTAAAAAAATTTTTGTTTTTGTGTTTTTTTATTGCTTTCAGAGAGGAAGGGAGAGGGAGAATTAGAAACATTAGTGATGAGAATCAATGATCAGCTGCCTCCAGCACACCCCCTTTTGGGGACTGAGCCTGCAACCTGGGCATGTGCCCTGACCAGGAATCAAACTGTGACCTGGTTCACTGAGTCACACCAGCCAGGCAGGAAAGGCGTTGTTTTTTTCATGTAGTAAAAGATACTGTTCCTTACAGTGACAGCCCTATTATGCTGGATAAAGACGAGCACTAAGTGAAAGCCAGTCTACACTTACTGGCTCATCTCATGTGAATCTGTTGGTGTGTTGTGTGGTATGACTTGAGAATAAAAGCTTTCCTACACTTGATGCTCTCCAGTGAATCTTCATGTGTTGACTGAAATTATAGTAGTAGCAAGTCTTTCCCATAGACTTTGCATTTAAAGGGTTTTTTATCCAGTGTGAGTCATATGAATACAAGATGAGTTTGGTCGAAGGCCTTTCAACATTTATTGCATTCATGGGGCTTCCCTCCAATGTGAACTTTCATGTGTTGACGCAAATTATACTGGGAGCAAAAGGTTTTCCCACATTCTTTGCACTTAAAAGGTTTCTCGCCAGTATGGATCCAACCATGCTGGACAAAACCAGAGTGGAAGGAGAAAGATTTTCCACATTTAGTGCATTCATAGGGCTTCTCTCCTGTGTGAATCCGCTGGTGCTCTGTGAGGTGTGACTTGCGACGAAAAGCTTTCCCACACTCACTGCACTCATAGGGCTTCACTCCCGTGTGGATCTGCATATGTTGACCCAAATTAAACTTGTAGCAAAATGCTTTCCCACAGTCTTTGCATACAAAGGGTTTTTCTCCAGTGTGAGTTTTCTGATGCTTAATTAAATTAGACTGATGCATGGCCTTTCCACATTTATTGCACTCATAGGGCTTCTCCTTAGTGTGATTCTTCATGTGTTGCCTGAGAGCAGAACTGTTGCGAAAGGTTTTCCCACACTCTGCACTCAAAAGGCTGTTCTCCAGTGTGAATCTGTTGGTGCTGCATGAGGTCTGATGTACAGCTGAAGGTTTTCCTACACTGTGTGCACTCATAAGGCTTTGCTTTCGGATGAACATAATCATGTGCAAGATCCCAATTCTTGGTGTTCCTGCATTCACTATATTCATAACGGTTCTTCCCAGTTTGATTCCTGGGGTCTTTTAGTCTGTGTGTATCACTGTTATGGAGAACACCTACTAGAGAGACTCGCTCCTGTAAAACCCTTGAGCGTAGACTATTATCTGACCCCAAATCATTGCATTTAGGGTTCATCTCCTTGTGGGGGTCTGTCACTGGCCTTAAGACTTCCTGCATTTCCGACAGCCCTTCCTGAGTTTTGGTTTTCCCAGCCCTGGCGTCCCTTGAGGCTCCCTGCCCCACCCATCCCCGAAGTGAGGACGCCTCGGACAGGAGCCGCTGAGAAGTGGTAGTCTCTGATTTTCCTCTGGCTCCTGAAAAGGATCCCCCTGCCCCACCCATCCCCGAAGTGAGGACGCCTCGGACAGGAGCCGCTGAGAAGTGGCAGTCTCTGATTTTCCTCTGGCTCCTGAAAAGAAATAACAACACAAGAATGACTTCGTAGTGATGCCAACATAAAGAAACAAATTACAACTTTTATTAGAGAGAAAATGATGAAAACAATGTCTCTGTGCCTGTTATGTTTTCACATCTTTGAACCCCAGGTTTACAATTTGTTCTTTTCTGTTGCTTGAGCTCTTGACATTTAAAAAAGGGAAACTCAAGAGGGGGTGCTTGGGCACAGAACAGAGGATCTGTTGGAGAACCCTCCTTACATTCCAGAGTCAAGGAGAGTGGACAGTATGAGGATGACATCACATACAGTAGGTTGGCTCTGAGAGGGAGCGACTCATCGTGGTGCTAGGACAGCACAAGCAGAGGCACCAATTCCCTTCCAGGTGGGAGAGGGAAAGAGATCACAAGGGGTTTCCCAGGAGGTGTGCCAGCTGTTTCCTAATAGAGAGGCAGAAACCACCTGACAGAGGAAGTGGAAGGAGTGCTGTGAAGGAGACAGAATGTACAAAGTCCGTTCTGAGTGAGACATGGATGGCTAGGGAAGCTCAGCACATGAGAGGCTGTTGGTGGTATGGAGCTAGAGACAGACAGAGGCAGAGGGCAGGCAGATGCCCAGGACTCTGACTTGGGTGCCAGTGAGCACAGTCACTGCTATCCCCTGACAAGGTTTACAAGGCAGAAGTGAGCACAGTCTGAGGGGACAGGTGGGGTCAGCTGTGCCAGAGAAACAGGCAAGTTAAAAGACACAAAACAGCTAGAAGAGGTCAATGGGGGAGAATGGGGGACATATGTAATACTTTCAAAAATAAAGATTAAAAAAAAAGACATAATCTGGATAGTGAAAATTTTAAACACTTAATTAGAGGCATTATGAGAATGGAAATGTTAAAAATATAAGTGTTCATTCTTCCTCAATGAATCTATTAATTCAATAAACCCTAGATAAATTCACAACAGCCTTTTTCAGAGAACTCAAAAAGATAATTCTAGATCTAATGTGGAAGAGTAAAGGGACACAATTATAGGGCCAGATGATCTACTGCTAAATTCTACAAAACATTTAAGGAAGAAATAATAACAAATATCTAATACCAATTCTATATAAGCTCTTCCAGAAAACAAGAGGATGAAATACTCCCCATCTCATTTTATGAGGTCATCATTACCTTAATACTAATACCAAAACCAGATATTATTAAAACTATAAACTAACATCTCTCAAGATCATAGACACAAAAATACAGAATGATATATTAACAAACTGAATCCCAAATGTAAAAAAGAACGGAAAGTCCATGCAGGAATAAAAGGCTGGTTCACCATTTAAAAATAAATCCTTGTAACTGACCCTATTAGAAGACTTAGGGCCCTGGCTGGTGTGGGTCAGTTGGTTTAAGCATCCAGACGAACACCAGAAGGTAGCTGTTTGATTCCTGGCCAGGGTACAAACTCGGGTTGGGGGGTTTGATCCTGGGTTGGGAGTGTGTGGGAGGCAACTGATAGATGTTTCTCTCTCCTTCTCTTTTTCACTTCCTCTCTCTCCCTTTTCTCTGAAAAAACAAACAAAAAACTCTGGGTTCTGGATTCTTAAAAAAAAAAAAAAAAGACTAAAAAGG